ATNTATATATATATATATATATATATATATATATATATATATATATATATATATATATATATATATATATATATATATATATATATATATATATATATATATATATATTCTATATATTCTATATATTTAGTCGTGGCACTATATAACGAGAGTTGTTTATATACTTTATAGTATTGAACCGTTACACTTTCGTGTGACAATAGAAGGTGCTGTATTTTTAATTTACCGGTCTTGGACATTTAGACAAAATGACAGGTTTTTTTTCCGAGAAATACCCAGTGAACTAATTATTTCAAGTTTGACCGCCTAATTTACTCTACCAATCAGATCTGTGTAATAGGTATTCTTTTTTACGTCAATTAAATGAGGCTATTTATATACTTTTTTTACTGCCCCTCGGGCCTCAGGCCTTAGCTGCCCCTGAATGTCAAATTTAGAAGGCTATGTGCATTCTTGCAATCCTTTGGCTTTCAGACTTGTCAGAGTATTATACTGTTATTTATACAGGAGTACAACGTACTCATCCGACACACAGAGAGGATATTTTAAATGTAATAAAAGAAAGAGGATGACTCGAGGAGGATTACAAGACACTCTACTTGAATCGTATTTTTTTAATAGGCTTTGACAGGGCCGAGCCAAAAGTCTTTTTTTAAATATATAAATAAATATAATCATAATTCTTAGCCTTCTTCTGAATTTTTAAAGAGTATGCACTGATAATTTTCGCCTCATTTTTTTGGTAGGATTTAGGGTTTCTAGTGTGCCCTGTGGACCAGGATTTTTGGACTCAGAGTTTTTCGGGGTTGGCCAAGGATTTGTGGAATCTTAGGATCAGGACAGGAAATTAGGGTCAGGGATCTTATAATTGAAACAAAAAACAAAAAACAAAAACAAAAACAAAAACAAAATGTGTTACTAATGCCAAAACGAAATATGGCGGTTTGTCATATTATATCACAAAGCATTCGGGACGTATTTGATTTTCAAAAAATAATTTGTCCCAGAACTAGGTACTTATTAGACATGTGTACAAAGAAAAATATCCATATGAAATGTGACGATTATAAATCCTGATTTTTATTTGTTCGCTCTAATTAGTCATCGAAAATCAGGACTTCATAAATTATAAACTTTTATTGATATATATCTTTCGAGTCCACGACTCCATATCCGATAGACATTATTGAATATTGAATATAAAGAGCGCATATTACGTGTATCAGAGGCAAGTGTATTCAGCACAGGTAACATTTAGTACTCATAGCAGGGCACAAATCGACAATATGGTTTGCATATCATGTATATTTATGCCCCTACTTTTCCTTGCGTGGACGTGGATCAGCTCATATTTTTGGAAACAGAAGAAGGCTGCCGGCGAAAGTAAAGGTACTTTAGTAGGGGACTCACGAGAGCCCCCATCTAGTTCCACAGCAGATTCTGGAGGTTGTTGTACGACGAGTAGTGTCTCGAGTGCCGATGCCAAGGCGAAGGTTTGTAGTTGCCGTATATATTGAACATAGTTGTGTGTAGCTGTAGTATATATACAGTGTGCAGATTGATTTACGCGCACTTTACGGCGTTGGTTAAGCAAAGCCAATTGTCAAAACCATTGGCATGCACATATTTGTATAGTATTTTCTGGACAGCGCCTGACAAGGTATAGCGGATTTTCTGAGGTATATGCAGTTTTCGCATCCATCTTTCTAGCGCGTATTGCCTTAATTATATCTTGCATATTGTTCTTTGGTATCTGATTTTTAGACAGTGTTAAACTTGGAGAACAGTGTCATGTGGGGTTTGATAGTTCAATTAGTTAGGTCAGTGAGAGATATTTCCTTTCTCATTTATTGTTTCTGTACTGCTGTTTGCAATCGAAAAAATATACCGTTTCTGTGTGCGTGCGTCAGATATATGTTCTATCTAGTAGATAATTCGCGTACAATGTTCGTGTTTTGTTGCGGATATGGATAGTTCCGTGAACCTTTCTGTCCATTGATACCCGATATGAGATTTTGGAGAATTACATAAGCACGCCAGTGCTCAGGCTAGAAGGTAGACATGGTGGTGGTTTAAAACTCATTTTCTTTATTGTCGCCTATGTTAAAAGAGATTAATGGTAGATAGTGCTATTCTTCCACCGACTGTTTTTAGTTTCCGATAGATGGCGCTTTCGTATCCGTTTGTTGAAGTTATTGATATGCATTTGTTGTCTGCGCATACGTGCCTCTGTTTCTCGTCAACGAATTGTTACATGGCCCTGTTTTGCACGGTCATTTGCCTTTTTCGATTTTCAGCTCAATGTTACAAAGTGTTGGATGCATGCACGTGTCAAAAACAGAAGCAATCTTTCACAGATGTTCATATGCTCGTTCATATTGTTGAAATGCACATTTGTAAGTGGATTTGGGCCTTTTACTTCTAGCATCTATGCCATATTGTGCGTGTGACAGTTGGTGACGGCAGGTTTTCTTCCATTACTATGTTCGTGTACAATTCACTATTTTTTACGTATAAATATGAAAATGTACTATCGTTCTAAGCATGCTTTTCTTTTCTTTTCTGTATCGCTACAGGAGGCGGGATATTCTATAGGTGCTAGCTCGTAATGCCACCCTGTCAAGCTAAAGTAAAGTACCCCTCGACTGGACTGTCGGGGATCGGACTCGTGAGGTGCGAATCCAACCTACAAAATAAACTAGTGTAGCAACAGAATCTTGGGACAGTTTCGTTCTCAATTGAGATATGTGACCTCTCTTGATATATCTGTGTCGGCTATTATAGGGAGGTATACTGCAAGAATTTGTTCAAAACTATTAGCTTCGTAGCCCCGCCCAATTGCGTGCTTTCAATCGCCTTCTCCTACCGACACGCCATGTTCGGAGCCAACTTGAAAACATTGGTAAAGTGGGACGTCGTCGGCTTGGTGTTCGTTGTATATCGTAGCGTTTCTATGGAGATATTGGGATTTTGTTAGCGCTGCAGTGTACATCTGCACGTCTCTACAATTTTCCTGGTGTCTGCGTTGAGGGTCTGACTGCTGACAGGAGAGGCTCTCTCTTTTTTTTTCCAGAGTGAATTTCTCGTCTAGACTACGAATTACTTAGCGAGGCCTAACTGATTGGTTGGTGTAGTATCAATCTCATTACTCCCGATCCACCCCCTAGAGTGTTGCAAGCAATTCCAAGGGTGACTATTTTGGACTGTGGGATTTAAGGAGGTCCTGTGTTTCTCGGTCTGGTGATGTCTGAGAGAAATAAGCTAGCACATCCACGCTCACTCGCTGAAATTCAACTTTATTGCGTCCGATGATGTGTGTGTAGGTGTCATGCTTGTGCCGAACCCTCGATTTGTTAACTCCTAAAAGAATACAATACGGAGGAGCATAGAACTCCCGTGTTAGCTTGCGTTGAACGTCTTGGTACATCTCGGATATTGTGGCAGATTGCCAATGTCAACTGTCGGGTGTCTAGTCTTCCAACGTACTACCATGTGTCAGCCAAAAACTTGCAAACATTACAAGTGTCGTGCTGAAAATATTAATATGAAATTGCTGTTAAATATACTTCTATACTGTCTAGTCTTTCGAGAATTTGTACGACACGTGCGTGCGGAAATTTGGCCAGTATCGAGTGTCAGATGGTAAATGGCCCGTGGGCTATAACAAAAAGGCTCTACAATGGATATAACTACGTGTACCACATGAATCTGTTGGCAAATACTTTGTACCACATGAATCTGTAAGCAAATACTTCGTACCACATAAATCTGTTGGCAAATACTTCGTACCACATGAATCTGTTGGCAAATTGTACCACATAAATCTGTTAGCAAATACTTTTGTACACGTGAATCTGTTGGCAATTTTTTTGTACCACATGAATCCGTTGGCAAATACTTTGTACACGTGAATCTATTGGCAATACTTTGTACCACATAAATCTGTTAGCAAATACTTTGTATCACATAAATCTGTTAGCAAATTCTCTTAGTACCACATGAATCTATTGGCAGATACGTTGTACCACGTGAATCTGCTGGCAAATACTTTTACTTAATATTGAGTTTCTTGTGTTTTTCTTCTTCCTGTGCTCAAAAACAGGATCACTTACGCCACCGGAGAGCCGATCATCCAAACGTGTAGACTATCGAAATGAAGAGGCACACCGCTATAACACCGGCAATTATAAGCTGGTCTCGCCTCTTTCGCACGTCTATCTTCTTCATGAGTACATTCAGGCCAGGGATGGTTTCTGTGTATCATCGTAGAAGCATGTGACGAGGGTCTGAGGATCATTACCGCACATCTAGGCCTTATAATTGGTCGTTATGGTTACCAATTACTTCCAGGCGTGAAAGTGCACAAAACTAGGTACATTCTAAACAGATCAATAGAAACTGTGATGATGAAGCTCAAGGTGCTGATGATCCGGCTACGAAATCATCCTAAAAACCCTAAAACATTTACCTACACCACAATGCAAAAGTGGGAACTGAAACTTATCACCACACTCAGCCACAGACGATATGCAACATAAATTAGTCAACATGAGCGGTGAGATGTATCAGATATCGTATCAACATTGGTGGATAGATAGAGTATTTGATGACACCAGATTCATGCACGCCAGAATAACTCACTATACAATTCTACACAAAGTACCTGCAATGCCTTGTAACCTCTGTGAGGTGCTTTGGAATGTTCGTCGTTGCGTGTGCAAGTCTTCTCTTGTGGCAATCGCAATTCTATTACAGATACGGACAATTGTGTTCAGATTGATTAAAGTCGTAAGTGAGCGTTGAGTGGTAATTTTATATGCGCACAATAAACCTGCAACGAACATAGAGTACGGCTTTTCGGCGATAAGGTATGCCTATGGTCTACCCTTGCCAACCAGAATTGTGATCCAGAGTAGCGAGAAAAGCGATTTGTGATCAACACTCGAGAGCAAATTCTTTTTCTACACATTTTCAGTGCAACGCCACCAGTATGACTTACCCTATCGCATCATCCACCGCACTGTGCGCTGTATTCAAACGAGCTTGCTCAGATGCGTAGTAGTCTGCCCCACTTCCAAACCCTTCTTTGTACGCTCTAGCAGAAGAATTAAGATAAATGAATGAATATGTGAGCTGTGGGTATTGGTGCTGGTCGCTTTTTTTCTGCGCCCACAGGTTTCTAATTGGGCCATAAGGGACATGTACAGTATGTCTTCATTCGCCTCTAGGAGAAAATAGAGTCACCCAATCGTGTTTCTATGAGATTGGTATAAACGTTGTAGCATGGCCTAAAATTCATTCTTGTCAAATCGTACAACTGATTTTGATGCTTGTATTCGGCCTTGCCGGATGAGACATCTGCTAACACACAAAATAAATACTGGCAGATCAAAAGGCATATATATATGGAATTGTGATCGAAATGTAAAATTACGCTTAGGATTACCTTATTTCGGTTTGCACATCGCTGAGAAGCATTGTACGATCTCTTGCTGATTGTAGATTTGCCTGGTATTTGGGATATGATAAAGAATAATCAATGGGAAACCTTACACATTGAGATAGATATTACACATATAGCCCCGGCATTCTGCGAACAAAACTCAGCTCATTAAAATCACCCGAGACCAACATCTGGGCCCAAAAACAATCCTGCCTAAACTAGCGTACAGGTTCGTTCACATACTTTTGTTTTTCGAAATTCTCTCGTATAATCGTTCAGAAGGTCTCTATGCCGTTGCAGAGTGTGTATGACCGTCGGACTGGGCGACGACGAAACTTGAGCTTCGTTTGACATCTGATCGTTGAGATCTGCCAGCTGTCAATGAGTAGGAGCGAAAGGAAATAAAATTTGATTCCAATCACAAAAGGGAACAACGAATTAGCGCCTGAAAAACACGCAGCATACTAATCTATGCGACTAGAATGGTTTCTGAACAACAATAGAACATGAACTATATATATATATATATAAACACACAAACACACACATAACTATACTATATATATATATATATATATATATATATATATATATATATATATATATATATATATATATATATATATATATATATATATATATATATATATATATATATATATATATATGTATATATAATACATATTGAAGTTCTCATTTTGAAATTTCAATTTTGCATTCAAGTCATATGCAATTAGTCTGACGTGGAATGCGCTCGAATGCTACATATTCAGCTGTGCAGTCGAGAAGTGATTGCAACTGAGCTCGTCACCCGATGATTGCACATCGTATGAGTCATTGATAACGCTGCATCTTATAGAAATGCATTTAGTCTCACACAATCGTACAGAACTGACTCTGTGTATACTTCGCTTATCATAGAGCTTCTAGACATCACACTCTTTACTGTAATCAGCGTTGGATAATTCACTCGCACAACGTCTAGCTTTAGTCCTGACACTCTTATTTCCTTCACGCTTTGCACAGCCGCACCTTCGGAGAGCAAACTATATATTGTAACAGGCGTTACAGGGCTGTTTGCGTTTGTGCTGATTGGTGCATACATAGTTTTCAGAAGGAAACCGAATTGGTTCCGAGGGGAACCTAATTATGATTTGGAGATGAGTAGGCGGGTTACTCCCGCTGACAATGGACAGGTGAGTGTGAGAACCACAAAAAACCTTTTGAACATCGTGTAGCCATGCAGTGGATTTGTATCTTCAGTTTTCGTTGACCTTTTGTGATTGTATATTGTTTCGTTGTAGTTAATCAGAGGTTTATAAATCACGGCGTACTCATGACACCGCATGTCGATTGCTAAGTATGGTTATCCGCCATCGCTTTTCGAAAAGTCAGAAGAAATATCGTGAGAGTGAACTCCAAGCATTTGGAATGGAGTATCTACAGCCAAACCTATACAAATATATTCGTCTTGTCTGGACTATGATTTTCCGCTATTGGGCCGATTATAAATACCTATTCATTCGAGTCCTTTGTTTTATAGCAGGTCGATATTATTGCATGCTACTCCCGGTGCTATTTCGGGGTCTCTTTTTTTTCATTGCATCCATCACGCGAACACAAACTAAGGATATATTATGTATACATTTAGCGCAAATATTCAATCCATGATCGCTGCGGTTCGACCGTAACGTTGTTACAGATTTAGAAATCAATGTCTTTCAATATGAATAGGTAGTTTCTATGGATTCGCAATGCGTCGTCATACATCGAGCGTGGCGCAGGACTCAAGATTTGAATCAGATTGAAGTGCGAGTTATACATACCCATTATTGTCGTGGTGTCCGATCAAGTGCTTGTGAGCTGTACGACACTTTACCACCACGATACAAATATAGTGAAAGGCAAAGTGTTGAATTGTGAAGTATATTTGTACACGACTCTTGTTCTACGGTCAATCTTGCTTTGAATTTGTTTAGAATTGTGAAAACAGATCTGATTTATTTATATAGTATACTATTCGTGTTTTCATCTGAGGCACCATCAGCCTTACGACTGCGCGAGTGGCGGAGCTATTGTAGCAAAATTTCACTGACAAATCATTCCCTTGTAACATTTCAATAGAGTCCGGCTTACGCTTTCTTAATGGACAATGATAGCGACAATGAGGAGTTCGACGATTGGTGATTGAAAAATAACGTCATCAGAACTAGAGCCCGTTGATTTCGGCCGATGCCACACCCAGTGCAGCCATCATGCCACTCAGGTGGCTGCGCCGGCAAGGATATGATAGCCAGTTATTGCCATGCGAAATCTTAGTGCCATGTACCCTGTTCGTTGTGGATACTCGAGTAGACAGTATAACCTCCCATCGCGTTCACTCAGCAAGCTATAATCACGCTTCCATATCGATCAATGCTAAAATGTTCATGACACAGGCATTGAGGAGATTATAGAAAGAATACAGACCTTGGGCAGTATCTGGAAGTAACTATACATAAGGAGTGTTCCACACTAAACCTACCATCGAGCAATTGACCCTGGGCTCTTAGGATATTCGGGTGTGATGTAGCCAAGCCATGTGATAGAACGGAGGGCGATAATAAAATTTAGGAATAGAATTAAGATTCTGTTGTCAGTCGGATAATTTAATGGATACTAGAGTTACATTTAAGGATCTTTGTGCTTATAGTGTGACCCAGTATAAAACTACAATAACCCTTTCACTGCACAGGTATGGAGCCAATAACCTTATAACTAAACGGTATCAAACTAAAAGACCTTTACTACACAAACAAGTTTATAATGGTCTGTGATGTTTAGATTGGTTTATAATGGGTTTTAGGATCTGAGAATAAGGTTTGTATGAAGCTTCTCGTTTAATTTTTTACGCAAGGGTATCAGACATCTCCATGTGCCAATTCCTTCGGACGATCTCGTGGTACACATTAGAAAATGACCGAGAACACTAAAACGAGAGGAAACGAGGAGGCAAAAAGCGCTTCTACTATCTGAAACGCCAATCAATATATTGAATTATTTATCCATTGCGACACTATCCGAGTGTATGCAGAAACTTCTCAGTAGCTGCTGGGATTCGGGATTTCAGAGCTAGCATGAATACTGTCAATCGAGCAACATTTGTCAAAAAAAAAGTAATTCGAGCGATGATATTCCAAAGTGAGACTAATCACACAAGAAAACATCAATCTGATACTTGATGACTACATCTCTTCCTAATTTAGATACTTTTGTTGCACGCAACACGCTTTACGAATTAAAGTTCCAGCATTGGAAAATATTAATTCTAAGATAGAGGTATAATATCCTCGATTATGGACCAAAAGTGAAAACTATAGCAATGAACACGCATCGATGTTACTTGCAATTCACTGGCACTTCTTTGTACACAGAATGACTCGCACTTTGAATGGGTACACACACGCAGAAAAAGCACAGACACATACAAACTAACAAACAAACAGATATACAGACACAGCTACAGCTACAGAAGCAGACACAGATACAACCACAGACAACGACTTAAAATCTATATTCTATGTTTATAGTGGAGTTATGTACAATATATTGGCCCGATCCGATCACAGCGTGCCCGAGGCTCTCAAGTATCTAATTATAATCCTTATACTAAGCAAGGAGGTTGTCGTAATTCAGATCTGTGTCCGGCGGCGCCACTAATTCTCTGTCCGGTAGCGGCTTTCCTTCCAAAACCATTTTGATCTCTTCACCGTCCAGAGTCTCGTATTCTATTAAAGCCTGCGTAGATAAAAGAGAACAAGTTGAGTGGTTTGCAAACAAGCAGCCAGGGAGTATCCAGAATACATCCCGTATGACCCAAGCCTCAATAGTTTACAAACAATCAGATCACGCACTAAAGACTATTGAAACGCTCTTGGAAGTTTTCGTACACGAACAAGCAATGGAGAGCAAAATTAAAAAAACATACCGTGGCCAGCAAATCAAGCTTGTCCTTATTCTTCCTTAAGGTATTGATGGCGTCTTCATACGCTTCATCTAGCAGCCTCCTCACTTCAAGGTCGATAAGTTTCATCGTCTCCTCCGATTTGGGGCTGTCTCGGTCGTGCACAACTTTGCCAATCTTTTTACTATATCCTAGGTCACACACCATATGTGTTGCCATGCTCGTCGCATTTTTCAGATCTGAGCTGCAGCCTGATAAGGAAAGTGTTGGGCGTTTAGAGTGAAGCCAGCTCAGAACGATGTTTTTATGAGGTAGATTACATTATTTAGGTTGACTCTGTTGTCCAAATGCACTATTGGTCATATGCCTATACACACGAGTAAACCTGTGCGTAGACGGACGCAGAAAACTGCATTTTGATATTATCGGGGATGCAGTAATGATATATAAGAGATGCATGACTATCACACAACTACAATCTGGTAATATCGAGGATGCAGTAATAATATAAAAGAGATGCATGACTATCACACAACTACAATCTGGTATTATTGGGGATGCGGTAATATTATAAAAGCGACGCATGACTATCACAATGCAGATTGCGTACCACTTGAGACGTTTTCCTCTCCCCAGAGCAACTCTTCGGCTGCCCTACCGCCCATGGCTACTCGCAGATCAGCAAAGTATGCTTCCTTGGAACGACTGGTGTTGTCTACCTCGGGTAAAAATTGTACCTAAGAATAGAAATAGCGTTCAGAAGCGTTTTAACAGACATGCATAGATAGTTGGCCAGCCAGAGTACTCAACTACCCAACGGCTATTAACAACCACACATAACAGCCCTCTATGATACAGAAATATAGGTTTTCAGACTAGTGAGTCGCAGACAACAACATATAATGCATAGACATAATCACATACAACCCACAAACATGGAATAAATATCAGACATGGAGCTGTGTAAACTTTGGCGTAGGCGGAATACTGAGACTAAAAATACACATACCTAAGTATATATCTGGATACCCGGCTGTCTCAGGAGATCAAATAAATATATACGACAACAACCTTCACACTCTTCTATACGACTAATACAAAGATGTGAAAAAAAAATACTACCGAACTTTCACATACCATTCCTAGAGTCTGTCCGCGAGACAATATGGTGGCTTTGTACATCGCATTAGCTCCCGGGGTGAGTGCAGCCACTAGCGCATGGCCTCCCTCGTGATACGCGGTCTGCAATCAGAAGAGTTGCACAGGACATGAATGTGCGCAAAAGTGGGGCACATGGTAGACGGAAGATGCCCGATTCGGATGTGTGCACAGAGGGATAGCACAATACGCGATGACGGGCATGAATTGACACATGATAGACGAGAGATGATGGCATGGAAGTGCAGGCAGAGGAGTGGGAGAGAATGCGAAAATGGGCAGAAGATAAGGGGTGGAAGATAAGGGGTGCACAAAATCACAAGAAAAATCAAGCACGAATGTATAACTAAAAACCTTAGATGCCGATCCTTCATCTCATTGCTCGCGTGACAAAAAATCGTAGCGAAAATTAAGTTCTCCGGCATACCTGATTCCGGTTCTTAGCCGTAATGATCCTTGACTTGTTTTCTGCGCCCATTCTTATCTTGTCGAGTGCGTAGATAAACTCCTTAGTTCCCACCTCCGTCTTGTTATCTGCAAGTAGAGAACAAAAAAGATAGTAACCACAATGTATGTTAAGCGGGTATGCTCGAAAAGTGGGTGAAAGACACAGGCGCTTGAGTCAAAAGTAAAGTAACCGGCGGGTCAGGCGGGAAGCACACGACTGAAATTTTGAAATACGATCAACCAAAAGAGGTATAGCGCGCACAAAACATAAAATGTGCTCCTGCTACCAATCGTCCCAATACAAACATAGCAATACACATACAGGCATACAAATTTACATTCCCCCCCCTCAAATTTAACGCATAAGTAGGTATTACACACAACATGGGTGTATGGCAATTTTATCCAATGAGCTAACGGTTAATACACACCGATAGACGCCTTCAACGCCGCCTGGTTCACCATGTTTGACAACTCGGCTCCCGACATCCCTGATGTGGCGCGAGCAATCACTCGGAGATCCACCGCCGGATCCACTCCTACCTTACTAATGTGTGATTGCAAGATCTCCAAGCGTCCTTTGGTATCGGGTATGTTGATGTACACCTTCTTGTCGAATCTGCGTAGTAGTAGATCAGTTGGAGAAGTGATCAGCTGATAGCAATAGCGTCATGCATATTCGTGGTCCACTTTCGGGCAACTGGCACAAGGCAATGGTGTACAAGTTTTTACAGATGCAGACGATGGTACCAAAGGTACATCACCCATATCAAAAGGGCCAGGATGTACTGCAAATAGCTGCCCACGCAAGGGGAGGAAGGTGTCACTATAGCAGTGCTAATTTTCATCAACCGCGACATCTCCACCTCGAAAGGTATACTAAGTTATCAAACTCAACACACAACTAACCTGCCAGGCCTAATTAGTGCTTCGTCAAGAAGCTCTGGGAAATTCGTAGCGCCCACAACTATTACACCATCGTTCTGCTTAAAGCCATCCAATTCAACAAGCAGTTGATTCAATGTCATGCGCGAGTTGCCACTGCCGTCCCTGACATTCCGTTTGCCACTGTCAGTATGAAGGGGGAGATCAATAGAAATCGTTTAGATTCACATATCTGAAGAATGTATTTGGATCGATACAGCGTTCAATATTTTGACAAATATATATCTGGTCAACACACCTGCATTCATGCACCTTGTAGACAATTCTTGAGGGTATGATAACATTTGGATCCATAAACCTTGTGTACACATTCGTATGTAAATTTCTTACGAACACATTTGCAGTCGTTTACCCTGTGTACAAGTTTAGATGTACATACCTTGTCAAGACATTTGGACGTAATACTATGCGGAGATTTTCGAACTTGAATACCTTTTGGTACTTATAGTGCGTATAATTCTAAAGTAGACGAGCCTATGAGTTTGAACTTCTCCCATCGCTACTGGCACAATCGAGCATCATATAATACCGGCAAAACGTAGTGTACGCTTGAGATACAGCACTCGACTGCACTCACACAAAATCATCAACTCGATATAACGGGACAAGTTTCCCTACCACAGCACACGCACCCAATATAGTCCGTCAAATATATGAACACTAACACAAGCAACGGAACAAGCACACCCTTGCCATAGCATACATACCCAATAGCGTCGATCTCATCGATGAAGACGATGCATGGTTGGACTTTCAGCGCTGCTTCGAAGAGTTCTCGGACTCGTCGCGCACCCACACCCACAAACATCTCATCGAAATCAGACCCTGGTGTACCACAAAAAGGAGTTAAAAATCAGCAGGGGTTACTCTGGAACATATATCAGTAGGCAGCACAGCACAGACAGTTGGAAAATTACCCGAGACATGGATGCAGACGCGATGTATTGCCATGTTTGCTACACACACAGACGGGTTATGCGAGTATACAAATAGAAAGGGATGGGGGGCGAGTTATACCTTTGTATACGCGTACCATAGAATATAACATACACTGCTGGTTTGAGTCGTCTGATGGCAAAACTGCAATTCTCTTCCCTATGGAGGGACGAATACACATACCTCCGATCATGCAGATGCACACATACACTTCACACCAAACGCGGTCACACACAATCCACGCACAATTGTAGCCACACTCGCGCACTTCAAATACGTGGATGTAATGCAACCAGAACGTACCAGCACAGTAGAAAAAGGGCACATCAGCTTCACCCGCGATAGCTCGTGCCAACATCGTCTTGCCCGTACCCGGTGGACCCATGAGTAGCAACCCCTTGGGTAGTTTACCACCCAGCCGGGTGAACTTCTCCGGGTTTCGCAGGAACTCTACCACTTCCTCCTGTAGTGATATGTACGACCAATGAGTTCAGTTTCAGTTCGACGGGGTTAGTATACCGGCGATAACAAGCAATGCGAATGCATTTTCGAGTGCACAACGTGTCCGGAGTTGTACGATAATTCTCGAGTGCACGTGCTACCATGCATAGTCCAAGGCGTGAGCATATAAAAAGTCGTGAATATAGTCGGTTACAGCTGTTGACTCTCCACGCGCTGGAATTTAGACATCCATGGTCGTATGTATTAGCTAATGCAGCTGGAAGCATTTGTAACTTTCACAAAGATCCGAACGGATATATAGATAACCGCACGAAGCACATTACAACAATATTGTTTTTCTGAACGAAGTATCGCATACCAAATCTTGCTTGGCCTCGTCACATCCTCGCACATCTTCAAACCGCAACCCAGTGTCCTCGTCCGCGTGGGGCGTTGTACTGGTGCGCATGCCTGGTATATTCTTGTTCACATTCATGCCATCTTGTACCACCGCAATCATCACCGAGAAGAAGATGAATGCCGACATAATCTGCCACCCAACCTTCTTCAACAGAGCGAATTTTATCGTGCTCACAAGCTCCACAGGCAACGGACTAGAGGCTGAGATGCCTGCCAGTGAGACACCCCCTGCGCCAGCACCGACCAAGCCTGCGTCTGATAGACCTGACTTGCCAAAGGACTCTAAGCGCTTAATTGCGTTGGGTAACGAAGACGCCTCCATACGGTGCGCGTGCACTGTGAAAGGGAAAGGAATGGTCCATGAGAATTAGTGATGTCATAATATATGGAAGGTCGAGCATGTTGTGCACATATATGTCATATAGCAAATTACTGTATGATGGAGTTAGTCTGCCATGTATCATTGTATCATGGTCGTCGGCGACAGCGCGGAGGGTGACGAGTATACCGACCAATACCAATACCGGCGGTACCAGGTATCGAGTGTTTTAAGATAAGCGACAGAGCCAGGACATTTGAAGTAGAGATGTATGATGCACAGCCAATACAGAGGTATGGTATCGCGCTTCCTATCACAAACAAAGAACTACGGCCAAAAATAAACAAATGTTTATAAACCGACGATAAACGTCAAGATCCCTTGATGAACGATATGGAATTACAACTGTCTTGGCTTGAATATAGCCTCAAAGCACGATGTAGTGTTAAAAACACACACACACACACAATCATACCAAGCGCCTTGATGTACTCTTGCATTGCCGCTTCGTTGATGGCGAATTTATTGCTATCCCAGCGCCTGATCACAACTTCGTGCTCACCTGCACGGTTCAGTTCCTGTTCAAGATGTTCAGAAATTCATGTCAGTATCAGTGAAACGACTTTGTCGTGGCGAGACATTGGCGCAAGACGCATGAAAAGGGCGTCCTCAAAATAAAACTTAGCGTGCATACTGCCAGACTTAGGTGTATAGAGATACGTGCGTGATGTACACTATGTAGGCAAGGGCTTTAACTGTATAAGTTGATATCAGCCGAAACTAGATAGTTTAAGACATCGATGAACAAGAAAACACGTCTCACCTGTAAAAGCATACTATTGTGATGGGAATGATGTTTGATAAACTATCGGATAATTATAGGTGACTATTGAAAAGCAAGTGTAAATTCGACGGCTGTTCGATGTATGGTAGCCCGATCTACTTGCAGAGATGGAACAGCTGTACAACTGAGTCTGTATGCCCACCTATAAGCGAGGAAAAAACCTACCTTAAGTAATGCCAATTGCTTGGTAACATCTCTAGGGGACGCGTCCGCAGCTTGTTCGAGCCGGTTCAGCCTACCCACCCCCATAAAGGGCCTCTTGGCGACCTTCTGTACGCTCTCACCACTCTTTGCTAAATTGGCCAGTCTCCTCAGTGTATGTATATGACTCCTCTGCAGGGTCGTGTGTGTATATGCGCATGTAGATGCCGTCAACGGGCTTTGGTGCCGTTTCATACTCCACACCCAGCTACCCGATAACATGCGAGTGGTTGTGCTGTGGTCGGCTATGCTGGGTCGCAGGGCCGCCAGTGTGCGATATAGTGCGGTAGGGGATCGACAAAGCCGTTTAGCCGACACCCCGCTGTGGGCCACCATGCTCTATAATAGTTGTATAACATTGCATTCGTGAAAATCCGGTGAAAAATTAATAATGCACAAGCATCAGATGGTGACAGCTCTGATGTGCGATTGAGAAAATAAGACTGCTACAAGGGAATTGACGATACAGAAACAGATATTTGCAAAGTTTGGACACCCAAATATTGGAAGATAAGAACAAGAACCACGAAGCACATGGGAGATTCAAAACTTCTCTTCTGTAAAAGCATAGCAACAAACAGACATACAGACACACACACACATATATATATATAATAACATACTTAACATAACTACATATATATATAAATATATATATATCTATATATACATATATGTATACAGATATATATATATATATACATATATACATATATAGACACACACACACACATATATATATATATATATATTTATGTATGTATGTATATAGTATATATATGTACGTATATAAATACGTACATGTGAATACATGTACAAATGTAGAAATGAATAGATATCAGCAAATAAAATTGTATTTATACATACCCACATACACGCACACACACGCGCACACACATATATCATATAC